CTGATTATTCAGCTTTACATGCCGTTATGCTTTGCTAGCTACAGTAAGAGCTAGCGGCAGTGCAGACTTAAGCCAGATTTAGACAATTATTCTTAGTCGTGAGGTCACTGCGGCAAACTCGGTACCAAAAAGCACTTAGTAACTGGACATCAAAAGAGGAAATTGAGATAGAACGAATAAACCACTCAAAAGTCAACCCTTAGCTGGGCGCAGGACAATTAGAGCAGTCTAAGTCGAAGCGCATAAACAGGTTTAGTCTAAGCTATTGCGACTTGAAAAGGAAAAAAAATTAAAGATCGTGTGGAATTACATTAATGAGAATTTGCGCTATATTTGTCCCCTTCGGTTAAGACTATGTCATATTGAACTAGCTAAAGAGTGCTGTTCTATTTAGGTGAAACAAAACCCAATTAACAATGTGTGTGATAATAGAGCATTAAACATTATTAGGGACATTTTAAGAAAATACAGCTGGCTTTTTTAAACACACCTATCCGATTTTAGCATATAATTGCCTCATTTTAGCGAAATTTAACTTTAATTTTAAAATACACTAAGGTTCTTAGTCTTATCAGTTTCTGTGGTTCCGTCTGTAGTGTTTAAGAATAAATTGAGTTTACGATATGGATAACATACATTTTCCACTCGTTCTCTCTCCTCCAACACATCAGCACCGATTCCTAGTCTATGTTCCCCGCTACTGACTGCAGCAGAAACGATTTTGCTTTTATTTTTGCATTTCCCACATACATTCCTTAACCTGGAATATTCAACAAGGAGAAGGATTCCAGAAAATACGACTGCTTCAATTGTCATGGCAACTAGCTTCTCTGTTAATGCCTTCCAGGAAAAGAGATGACTGCTGTCAGTGAGCTGGTCAAGACGAAGTGCATTAATTGCGTAGCCCTTCGCTAACTCATAGAAGCCTCGACTGAATGCAAACTGTGGGAAAATGAGGAAGAGGTTTGCGAGGACGTCAGCGACGGAGGACACATCGGGGTTGTCGTGTGCAGTGAGCTCCAACGTTTGGACAATCACCGTGGTGATGATAGTAACGAGGATGTTCAGTGCAAGAAAAGATACAAAGGCTACTGAGGGTGAATGAAAGATGAAGCTGAAGCAGTACATCAGAGGAGTGATGGCCAAACCGTACACAACCAGAAGAACGATGAAGGCGCCGATTTGCCCCTTGCCAATGTAAGCCTGTTCGTCAAAAATTACGAAGATTATAACGATGAAGGCAACGGGAATGAGGAATGAGATGAAATCCCAGACGTAAGACATAGACCAGTAGACTAAGCGGCTGTGACCGGAGAGAAACTGCATCGCCATGGCACCACTATGCTTCTCACGGATAATGAAGGTTGTAAACGAAGAGGAGACAAAGGAAAGTGCGAAGATGACACCAATGGCTTTGGTGAGCTCGATCATAAGCGAATTTAACAGACGCCGAGTGGTTTGTCCCTGGCCTGTGGGAAGGGGGAAATTGGCGATCGCCAAACCATAATTTTCCGGATCTATAAAATCAAACAAGTTTGAAGTCATTTGATCGACCTAAGGCCCGGAACCAGTTGCATTTGACTCCAGAGAGTATTTACTGGCATTTTTTTAGTTTTCAAATAACCCACTGCAGGTCTTGTGAAAAAACCACTTATACATAATCGGTTTAAGTTTAAGTTTAGGCTGGTGCTGTGACGAGGACTTGTTTAAAACAAGGTAACTGACTCCAGCGTTCTGCACCATGAATCTCAGGTGCATTTACCCGTCATAGTTGTAATAATTTATCCAAGGATGTCTCAACTAGAAAAAAAACTTATCTATTTCGTCGATGAATCATACATTTAAAAATCATGAAAAATGTAATCTTTTAGTGGTTTAGTTGGAGTTTCAAACAAAACCAAAACATAAATCTTTAAATACAACTTGAGATGCACACCACAGTTTCATGAAATTATATTTATTTTAACTCAGAGACTCTGGTTTGGACGTAGGAAGAGTGTAGTTCGCATCACAATGATGTTCAGTTTATGAGTAATGGGAAGGACAGGCCCTGACGTAAGTTGTGGCCAGTTGATAAGACTTCATAAATACGAGCACATTATCACATCTAAGTCCATAATATCCAAAAATGGATAACATTTTGAAGTGCTTTCAACAGTCATATGAATGTGAGACAGAGCAACTGATGGAACCATACAAGGACTTTAACGTCTGCCGTAATATGTGATTCTTCCCACAATGACACTTAAAATCACACATACACACGTGATGAGTTAGGCGTGCTTTGAAATTGGTCTTAGTCGAGGAGACGCGAGCTGCCGTCACATTCAGTTCCATAGGCTTCCATCTTAAACATGTTGTAAAATCAACCTAGCAGACAGATTTTAAGGTAAAAGAGATGCAGAAATTTTTATCTTTGAGGTGAATGAAGTTCAAAAATTATTGAAAGACAAAGTCAACAAAAGAAGCAGGTGGCAAGGCATGAGCGTCATGAAAAATTGAAAAAAGTTTAGTCACAAGAGTACGCAAAACGGAAGTCTGTTAAACCAATCAAAAATTCTCCCTAAATAGAAGAGCCCATCGCATGAACCGCATGCATTTAAGATAAACCCTTTTCAAATTCAATCTCTCAACAATGCCTCCATAAAAAGTTGACCAACGTTTGTTTAAAATCTACTTTGTGGTTTAGAAGAAAGATTACTCACAAACGATTGGTCGCACGCATGATTATGCATAGGATACTTTTACTACTTAATATTTAAAGATATTGATTTTGAAATCCCACTGTTGACGATGTTATTGAATCTGCTATACCTCCCTTTTGGAATATCACTATTTTGTCAGAAGTCTTCAAACATCGGCACGAACCAGAAAGCAACAGCACAAGCCCACAAGGAAGACGGGATAACCGGTGGTCACAGTAAGCCACGAGCCAAAAGTGAAAGGCAACAAAGAAAGCGTATTCCCTTGTGTTCAAAAATTCTCTGCAAGGTAAAATCAGTTCTGCCTTGACTGCTATGACAGATGTGGTCTGAAAATAGTAAGAATCAACTCCCGTGTCTGCTAAATAACAAAGGCTTCGAAAAAGATTCAATCCATCGTAATTACATGTATAGCCATGATGTTACCATTAGTGCACTCTGTGCGTACTGTTTCATGTCTCAAATCGCACCAAGCAGGTACTGCAAAGTACTCGCAAGTGTGTGTGAGGTTTTCCGACTAAGATGAACTTTGGGAACAAGAAAAAAGTATTGTAAAAAGTGGGTTGATGCATCCAGAGAAGAGGAGATCCAAACCATTTGGCCAACAGCAAGTCTTTTTTCATACCCTTAAATTACGATGCACAATCTACCAGTATGCAACATTTTCAACGCCTGGCAATTTAAAAATTATGGCGCATTTCGGGAGTGAAAGTGACCATGACATCCAAACACGCCAACATCGAACAGACGTGACGTTTCCTCAGTGAAAACACATGCCATTCAATGCAACCGAATGCCTCACGTAGCGTTAACATCTCAGCACCATTATAAGGGATATGTCTAAAGTGGCGAATTATTGAAATGGCTTTCAAAGTGGAGGTAATATTAAACTGCCTAAACGGAATACCGAAAGGCGAACTATACATTATTGACTTTGATAACGAAAAACGCAACTTCTTTTCAAATGACATCAAAATGATTCATGACAAGGTATCTAGTTGCTTTTAGACAATAGCTTCAGGCAGCGGCCTCGCGGTTGGAAGTTTGATCAACATTTTTTTCTGTGTAAAACCTTGTAAACCTGAATATCTAATTGCACCTCGAAAAGAACAATGCCCTAATGTGTTTCTGATGGACAGAGGCGAGCTACTGCCTAATTACGCAGCCACACATCGGCTAGCCGTTCGTTTCCTAGGTTCATACATAAGTCTAGCATGACGAATTATGGGACACAGCGAATGGACATAGAAATAGAAAGTGACTTGCCTGGATAAAT